AGGGAGGTTGCCCGGTGCTCCGATCCCTTGCGCCAAAGTGGATGAAGGCTCGGGGTCACCCCCGGGGGACAAATCCCAGAGGAAAAGCACCAGCAATGCAGGTCCCCCCTCGCCTTGCAAAGATCCCCTTCAATCCCACCCCAGGTTGCCTTTGGGATCGGCTGAGGAGGGGCCGGCTCCTTTTGTCAAGGGATTAAGTGAACTCACCCGCTCAAGCTGCAAAATATCCTAAAGCGAGCCTAGGAGCCGGACACGAGGGGACCTGGGGCTCCAGGGTGGCTTTGGCTTTACCTCCAAGGCCGCTTTGACAGTCAGTCGGGGCGCGGGAGAGCCGGCAGCGGGACCCCAGCAGTGCCCTGCGCCGCACCCGCCTGGTCTTCGAGGGAAGGGATTGCAACAGCATGCCTGAAACCTGGTAAATCTGCCTGGAAAAACCACACAAGTCAGGCAAGGAGTCCCGGCTTAATCCGACCGATCTGATTTTTGCCCTGGTCCTCGGTCGCTACCAGCTCTCGGAGGCAGGGATCGCAGATTCCTCGCTTGGGCAAGGGGGACAGAAAAGGGGATGGTAGCGTCATGTTTGCAAGAGGAAAGCTTGGAAACGCGTCTCATCCGCACCCAAGAGACAGGAGAAATCCCACCACAGGAATCTGGTCCTGCTGCCAACTGGCCGGGGATGCTGCGGACGGTTTTTGTAACCGCCTGTTGCTTTAGGTGTCTCGGCAGCCCCCCCCCAGCCTTGCAGAGCATCTCTGCCAGCGCCGGCTGCGCTGCAGGTGCTCAGCCCAAGTGCCCTTTCTCCTGCACATATTGGCCCCTACACTCTCTCCTGCCTCAGTTTCCCATCCTCAACCCCTCCCCTTAATTCTCTTAGGGATGCTCACCTTCTTTTTTTAATCGAATTTTGGGTCCTCTGCAGGAAAAATGCAAAATGATAACTTGCGTCTCCAGCCCGAGGCCTCACACCCATCCCTACAGGGCTTTTCCGAATCGCTGCAGGTCCCATCCTGCCAAGTCCTCCACGACCTGCCGGCTGCTCAGCACCGTCCTGCTGCTAATGCCCCCCCCCCCAAATACCCCATCCTCTGCAATCTTCAAGCCAGAAGAATGATTAAACTCCCAAATTTCAAGTCTGGTTCTGCTTTCACTTCATCATCGTTTCCTCCTGGTTTACGTGAGTATTGATGGAGGTAGAATTAAACTCTTGTTACCTAAATTAGGTAAACAGCTGAGCTATAACTGCTCAAATTGATTAGGAATAAATCATTAATAGCATTTTCCTAACAACAGGATGACATCGATTATAACTCTCGGCGCCTCACTGCGTCTTACGGTGCCTATCTTCTACTTGAGCTGTTACAGCTTATGCAAGAAAATAACTGGGAATACAAACAATGCTTGTGACCTTTAATAAGTATTTGGTAATTAAAGTGTGGTTACGGGAAGAAAAGTCACTATTTAAATATGGTTTCTTCTGACTCAAGATTTTTGCTGCCTGGGCATCTCCTAGTCAGCTCTCCAAGTTCTCACCAGCACAAGCAAGCCCTCACTTTTTTGGCCCACAAAAAGTAGGTACTTAGGGAGAAGCGAGATGGCTGTTTGGTCTCCTGGGTTAGCAGCAACCCTGCTTCTCCCTGCATTTTTGTGGCTGAGAACAAAAGACACAGAAACACAGCAGGTGGCTTTTTTTGTTGTTGTTTAACTGCTACACAAGAGCCGGTTGAAGTTTTCTCCCAAATACTTAAATACATTATTGCCCTATTCATTCAAAACAAGATCTTGAAAGGCTTCCTCCCCATCCAGAAATACCCTGAGAGCTGACGCAAAGATATTGCTCTTGGGGATGAAGGTAAAATAATTCAGGTTATTTCATTGCAAACTCTGTTTTTGGCTGCTGTGTGCTCTGGGAGGGGACGGGGGTTTGTCTCCAACTGCATCCCTCCTTGACCCTCTGCTATCGGTTCCTGCCAACCTGGCTTGGTGGCAGGCAAGGCAAACCGAGCAAGAGGTGAAACCCCAGTGATGCTGAGCAGCTGAGATCAGCTGGAGCTCCAAGGTCTAGCATTTCTCAAGGTCCAGCCCCCCCACCCCGAGCAGGGCTGGAATTAAAACACTGCTTCATTAGGAGTGGAGAAGCTGGGTGAAGCCCCCAGGGGAAGGATAAAGAGGGCAGAAATGGCAAAGCCAGGCTGCCAAAGCGCAGCTCCTGGTTTCAGCTGCCCATCTGCTCCTGCTGAGCTCCAACTTCAAGGACTCCTCCAACAGCCCCGTACCCAGACAGCCCACCGCAGAGGACGAGCAACTTCGGTGCACGGTTATCCCTTGCAAAAACCCGAGGGCGTTTCAGACCACGCAAACCCGAATCGGGACCTGAGGACCCACCACTGCAGGGAGCACGGCGATGGGGAGCCGGCTTTCTGCAAGAGATACAAAAAATAACCCAGTGCCGATGGAAGCGGCTGGTCAACAGCCCTGGAGATGGAAGTGGAGGGCGAGAGGCCAGGATCTCCGCTCTGGGGGTCTCCACAAAGCCTGGCCATGGGCAGGGTCTCCGCAGCCGGAGCACGTCGAAGGAGGGGGAGAGTTTCTGGCGGTGGTGGCCGGGGGAGAGGGTTGTTGGTGCATCTGCTGGGCTGCTAACAGGTGGCTCAGGAGCGGGACTGCGCATTACTCAGCCCGATCTGGCCCGAGCTCCTAGCCGGAAGGGAGTTAAGCTCATCGTTTTTAAGCCCGGCGTTTTCCCTGTAGCCAGAAAGGCATTAACCCCCTCTGTCCCTCATCTATGGGGACACCAGGCTGATGGGACACCATGGCATCCAGCCCGTGCAGACACAGGCTTCCCCGGGATGGATGTTGGGCCTGGGAAAGGGTCCCCAAACACCGACCGACCCCCATGGATCAACCCTGCAGCCTTTACCCCAGGGATTTACAGCCCCTAGACAGCGAGGAAAGGTAGGGACAGAGCCAAGATCCCCTACCCCCAGCTCCCTACTTGCTCACCCAAGGT